TGTATGATCTCCCCGTTCCCATGCTTCTTCCCTTAGTGTGGGCTGCCCACATGCACACTGCCCTCTTACCCTTGGGAAGTGAGCATGCACAGTGTGTTTAGGAAGCTGCACACATGTCCATCTGAGGCTTTCTTCCCTTTTCCAGTGGAGCACCCCCAGAAGGTTATACTCTGCCATTTGGAAAATTGCTTCTCCCTGGTGCCTGCATTCAGTTAACACTTACTGCAACATGTGTGGACCATCAGGAAATGGCCTCTCCTGCACTGGCTGCCAATTTATCACTTTTAGAGAGACAATGTGATAATTGCCAAACCATCGCCCGACATGCCTAGCTGATAAGGGAGAGTCCTCTGCTGCCCCCGCCCATGCCTAACTGCCTGTATCAGATATATGTGTGAGAATTGGCTAAACAGAAATATTAATTATATATTCCTCTATTGTTGATTTGTTTCTTAGCCCTTATGCAAACATGTTGCTGAATTTGACATCCCTTGGGAATGCCATTAACAAAAAATTACTCTTTCCCCACGCCTTGATCCCTCTCCAACTCCTCATATCAGTTCTCACATCTGTGACTTGGGGGTGAAAGAAACATGTCTTCAAGAGGCTTCCCCCTCACCTCTCTGAGGCCTGGTCACCAAGCCCCACCAGAGTTTCTCTGCACCTTCCCTACCCCACCCCACCACCATTTGAAGGTAGAGGTCTGGCATGGGTAGTCTGGGACCAAAAAGCTGTTTTGTTCCTGTCACCACATCTCTATCTTTAGGAACCATCTCCAGTAGGCCACCATTTTATTGGTTTGCTGGTTTCAATCACAAAAGCCACAAAGGACAAGCGGTGGACCAAGCTGTCCCTCCTGATCTAGCAAAATATAATTTCAATTCTTCAGACCTTTGCAACTCTCTTTGGCTAAATAGAGTGCAGGACACTGTTCATTTGGATCCTAGGGAAGTTCTGCAGGATTTGCCTCAATTTTAATTGTCACATGTGTAGTTAGTTAACTTCTCTCTTTCCTCCTTAACTGTGTAAGTGCCTTGAGGGCAAGGACTGATAACGTGTCCACTGCTTCCCTGGCAAAGCCTGATCCTTCCTGGGATCTGCAGGCACAGAGAACTCTTCCCATCCCCTGCTCTCTCCTGGCTTCTTCCTCCTACCTCCTTACACTAGGGTTCTCCTGCCTCTGGGCCTTTGAACTTGCTCTTTCCTTTGTCCCAGACCCACTTGGCATTGTATTTCTCCCTCACCTACTGTATTTTGTTTCTTTAGTGCTTACCACTATCCAGCAGATGTACGTTTTACATGTTTTCTTATGTGTCTCTCCCAGTAGAATGTTAGTTTCAAAGCAGTAAGGACTTTTGTCTGCTGTATTAAGTGCTGTATCATTAGCATCTAGAACAGCACCGGGAACACAGCAGCCTCTTAATAAATAATTTGTCACATAAATGAATGACCACCTTTCTAAGCTAAAGCATCCATTAGTTTAGTGTGAGTGCAGAATCTTCCAGGAGCCCTTGAAATCACTACCTCTGTCTTCCCTGAAGTCTCAGACCAGATCCCCAAACACAGCAGGGATCCCTTGGGTATCTCAGACCCTTCCACTACAGATTAGCCTGTAAAATATGCAGAACTGGCAGTGGCCCCTAGAAATGTGAATGCTGCCCCAAGACTTGGATTTAATAATGATTTCATCACCTTAAAAGTCTATCACATATTTTTGGTTGTCTATTTCAAAGTACATTTTCAGCACATTTAGTCTGTTTTTGGAATAAAAACTTATTTTCCAATATAATTATGTATGTTCTGTACTCTCTATATTGAGCACCAAATTGGGGTTTTTAGGAATATATTTGGCACCTGGAACTATATTAAGCTTCCATTTTTGTCTTTGTAGATTCTTCCAGGGGGACTTATTTTAAACCTGGTTGCTGCTGTTGGTTCAGGGGGCCCCGAGCCCCTTCTGCCTAAGCCATGGACTCTGAAATCAGGCCTGCTCCCTCCCCCTCAGTTATCTCATTGTCTGGGTTTAAAACAAATTTGGAAGCTAAAAACAACCATGTCCAGAAGGCAAAAATTAGAACCTAAAATTCAGCTCTAAGATGACGAACAAAAAGCTATAGATGGTGTCTGAGAAATGGGAGAAGGCAAGTTTCTCCCCACGGAAGAGGCTGTTTCAGGAATCTGATGGGAGGCAATTTGTTTCTCATTTGAGAGCTAATGGACTTATTGTGCAGTTCTCCTGTGGAATATTGCAATATCTTAATATTCCCCATTCTTTTAAGAATTAAACTTGTTAAGTAAACATCAAGATAGTAATATTATAGTTTCTCATTAAGATTTAAAACAATTTTTTAAAAACATACTTTTCAAGACATTTTGTGTCATTATTTGTAGGTTCTCACAAAGACACAGATAATGAACCCTTAGTATATATTTTATGTGTTCGAAGTTTGTGCAATATAGTATTTTTCTATTGTTCATTAAGAGAATTAAGCAGCAATTACAGAGATGCATTTTACATAGACATTTTAATGATTTTTTTCATTCCCAGAGGTGCTAATGAGGCCCTTTAAAAATTACTCTTGATTTTTACATGTCATTTAATTAAAATCATTCTACAGAAATTCTCCTGAGAAAGAATGGGGATTTCCTTGTTGTCACTACACCAACCTTTTGCTTTAATCAAGTCACTATGAAGTGAGTTTGCTATCTGCAGGTAAAAGCTTGAAGGTGTTGACACTAAGAGCTAAGCTAGAGACTGAACAATACTTCAAATGAAGTCCTCAGCCTGGGAACAAAACATTTTAAATGAAGCTAGCAGGAGAAAACAAATACAGGATGTGGAAGAACAATAGCAATAATGGAGTCATTAACAGTTGTTAGAAGATAACTGACTTTTCTGTTAGTAATGAAGATTTACAGCTAAATTAGTTTAAGAAAAGCATCTTAACACCCTGCTTTTTCAAAAAAACTCTTCCCACCCTTAGAGATAACCAGGGATTTCTAGGCCAGCTTTGATTCCTTGAATTAAACTCTTTTGAACATATATTTTCCTCTTCTTCTAGTTCCTCAACTTCCTCCTCCTTTCTGTTCATTCTCCCAAGAGAGAAAATTTCTCCAGCATGGTGCTGTGGCCTTCCTCTTTTCCCCCAGCCCTGACACTAAGCACACACTCTAAGGAAGTTTACCAACAACATAAAAATTGCATATCTGGTTAAATATCAGAAATTTCTACTCATGATTTAGTAACTCTTTAAACCTCAAGTAGATTGTTGAAAACACAAGCAACCATCATTCATCTTCTAAAATAAGATTACATTAATAAATGAGAAGTTCCCAACCACGTCTTCCAAGAATGACCTATTTTTAAAATGTTAAATTCACAGTCAGCATGTGAGGGCTCCTAGACCTGCTTTTCCTTTTCTTTATCTGAGGTTATGGACCTCAGGAGAGCAGGGGAGGGTTACAAGGTCAAAGTCTTTTCCTCCTTGGAACTTGCTGCTTGCTGGGAGAGGGCTGCCTGGAAAATAGATGCTTTAGAGGAGAGGTTGGGGGTCACGATTTTAATTCTGTTAAGGAACAGCTGGTTTAAGTTTCTTTCCACTTCTATCTCCTCCTCCCTTCCTCATAAATCCATGGAGAGAGAAGAGTTTGTTCACTAGGAACTGGCAACATAAAAATATACCTTCTATTATTATAGTGCTTTCTAAGTGTCATCTTTGTTATGAAGTTGATTCTAAGTGCTAGAGAGGGGCTAGAGTTTATGAAATTAACTCTATCTGAAACATGACCAGAGTTTCAGTCAAAAGAACCCTTTAAAATACAGGATGCGTGCCTGGAAATTTCTTTTAATAATATTTTTAAACTAAAATGTTAATAGAAATAAGTACAATAAAGGATTCTGGAGTATTTGGAGCCCGACTGCAAAGAGAGGAACATGACTGGAATATGAAAGCAGCCAAGTGGGGGTGTTATGTTTCTGGACTAGAGTCATTGTCTGCCTCCAAATTAATATGCTTTCATTCATTCAACAAATGTTTATCGAGTGGCTGTTCTTCCCACAATTCGTCTGGGGATATGGTGGCAAGATATATGGGTGCTCCAATGTGTCTGCAAACAGGTACAGAAATGTTAACTGGGTCCAATAGTGCTTTAGCCCATAAGCATGGCTTCCTTTTCTAAATAGTTTACTCAGTTTGGGATTTAAACATCAGGTCTTACTCAGTTTGGGATTTAAACATCAGGTCTGTTCAAAATAACATTATGCCATAATGTAAATCTAATACATAAGGTGAATATGTAATAGTAAAATAACACTAAAAATGTAATAAAAAACAGTTAAAAAGCACATGGTTTGATTATTTTTATTTAGGTTTTGAAGTCTCCCATGGTTTTTTATCCTGCACATGTGTATACACACACACACACACACACACACACACACACACACACGCAGAATAAAACTCAGATCTCTCAAATAAATGGAAACCAGTAACAGACTTTTTCTGTCTGGGCTCCTCAGCATACTGGCCTCAGGCTGTGTTGGTGTGTGGCTCAACAGCAATCAGAGGTCATAATTTCATTGGCAGTTAGCATCAGGTTTAATTTTTCTAGCATGTTACATTTACCAAAATGTCTGGTTTCAGTTATGCTTAGGCACTGAGTGAATCAGCTCTGAGCAGCACGATGGCTTAAGGTACCTGAGGTTTATGGAACACATATGCTAATTGTTTTCAATCACTTTCCTTTCTAAACACAAAAATGTGTTTTCTGAAGCTGAATAGCAGTAGTCCTTAACCACATTGCTTCTTTCTTATAGGAGAGGACCCTAAGTAGGTAAAAATGTCAATTTTACAAGACTGCCACCTACTGATTGACATAGTTAAAAAAAAAAACACTCCAATTAAGGTGCTTTTAAAAATAGCTATATATGGTTTTTCAAAACAAACAAAAATTTAGGTGCTCTTAAAAAATTGACATGTATCATTTTAATTGCATTTTAGGAATGTGACCAAGTCCATATAGATGATGTTTCTTCAGATGATAACGGACAGGACCTAAGGTGAGCAGCCTTGAACGTGAAGTGACCTTTTATAGTTTAATTGCTTACCTAATTAAGATGAACTTTCTGTTTGGTTAACTTTGGGCTTTTCTTGCATCTAAATAGCACGTATAACTTTGGAACAGATGGCTTTCCTGCTGCAGCAACCAGTGCTAATTTATGCTTGGCAACTGGTGTACGGGGCGGTGTGGACTGGATGAGAAAGTTGGCCTTCCGCTACAGACGGGTAAAAGAGATCTACAACACCTACAAAAATAATGTTGGAGGCAAGTGATCACCACCAGTGTCTCAGCGGGTTAAGACAGTCTAGATACAATTCCAAAAGTACTGTACACTTCTGTGTCACACTGCTTTGAATATAATAGCCTTTTTTTAGGACAGTTTCATCTCACTGGCCATTACTCTGCGGTGATTTCGTGACAGAAATATTGGACTGGAGCCAGCTGCCCTGGCTATTCTAGTCTAGTCCTGTCTGTTACCTTGTGATATGACCTGGGGCAAGTATCTTGACCTCTCTGACATTCAGTTGTCCTTTCAAGGAAGGATTAGCAACCTTCGAAGAATTAGCGACCTCTGTCCAAATCACAAGATGGGTTGTAAATCTTCTACCAGCTAAATACTTGGATTAGTTTGAATCTTTTGACTTTGGTTCATAATGGCTTTAGCATAAAATGTTCAGGAGTGAGGTTGGTTTCCTGCAGGGCTATATCCAGATGCTTAAATGATACTGTCAAGGAAGCCTGTGCTTTCCTTTGAGTAAGCTCCTTTTAGGTCAGTCCCTCCCAAGAGGTGGCAAAATGACCACCCGTAGATCCAGCTTTATACTCTACCAGTAGTTTGGCACCTTTATGGAGGGAGGGAGAGAGATCTTTTCCAATAGATTTAGCAAAAGTTCCAAGATGGACTTCCAGGGGCCAAGCAAATGCTGAACACCTACCCTGGGAGCCAGAAGGTAGAGTCAGCTCTGCCCAAACTAGTTAGAGGAATGGGAGAGAGTAGGTTCCCCAAAAAGAAGAGCTGACTTTTATAACCAAATAAATACTTTGATTGAATGATACTATGTGAAACATACTTTGTATATTATAAAGCTTGAGAGTGGTATTCATAGTACTCCTTAAATGTTTCTTATTTATAAAGTCAAAGCAATATGTTGGTAAGGAAGTAGTTCATCACGTGCTTTTGATCCTCAGGTCTGCTTGGTCCAGCTAAGAGGGAAGCCTGGCTGCAGTTGAGGGCCGAAATTGAAGCCCTGACTGACTCCTGGTTGACACTGGCCCTGAAAGCACTCTCACTCATTCACTCCCGGTGAGGCTCTCTGTTGGACCTTTGCCAGGAAATGGGCAATGCTCGTGCTTGTTCATTTTGGAGATTTATTTTTCAAGTGTTTTTTTCTCTTTCTGTTGTCATAGGACAAACTGTGTGAATATTTTAGTAACAACTACTCAGCTCATCCCAGCATTGGCGAAAGTCCTGCTGTATGGATTAGGGATTGTATTTCCAATAGAAAATATTTACAGTGCAACTAAAATAGGTGAGCTGCTTTTTCTTTTTTTTCTTTATAGCAATCAGCTCTTTTCCTTCAGGATAATAAAAATGAAAGGCAATAAATGAAACTTTTTTTCCAGAATGCTACATAGATCAAAAAAATAGAATAATTTAACCAATTTGTCAAACTGGATTTAGACATAAGAGAGACATACAGCATAATCCATGTAGCTGATGTCATAAAATTTTACTTTACTGGCTAATGTTAAGAACAAGGCATTTTAGGTAGCGTAACAGCATAGATTCTGGATTATCATACTTTTGTCCTTTTAGGCAACATTAACAAAAATATCTGATTTTCTAAGCTAACACAAACAATATAGAATTATGCAAAGTAGAAATGAAACAACTCTAATAGATTTATTACTAGAAATGTTTGTTTTTTAATTCAATATGTATAATTGAGTTTCCATTTTTATTGTGGACATGAAAAAGCTGCTTGCATGAAAGAAACAGTTGGGAGGAAAAGACTTATGGAATTTATTTAGAATATAAATCAAGGCAGAATCAATATAGGGATTAAAAAATACATGACTCTTGTTCTCAGGGGAAGCAGACAGTTACAAGAGTATGCAAATGAGCATTTTTTAGTTGTCTACTAGATACCCCAAACTGTACTAAGCATTTTACATTTAAAGCCAATCTTTATAAATCTTTCCATTTTACAAATGGGGAAACTAAAGCTCAGAGACTTAAGTAAATTGTTGCAGTCAATAGCTCACAAACCCAAGGGTCAAGCTTCATGTCTCTCTGATTCCAAGGTCTAGACTCCTTGCTGTATCCTAGAGGGTCCTTCTGCTAAGTGCTTGAATGTGCACATAGCTGAGGAAGCATTCACTCCCACCCAGGAAGAGGCTGAGGCAAGTGTCTGTGAAAGCTAAAGGGAAGGAGTGACATTTGAGCTGGGTATAGTAGAGCATGTAAGAGTTCACCAGATAGATGGACTAGTGATAACAATGCAAAGAGACAGAGAAATTAAATTGTGTTCCCTGCTGAGGGACTTGTGAGTGGCCCTGGATAGCTAGTGTGCTGTGCTCATTAAAAGCCAAAGCTGGAAAGGTATACTTGGGTCTAGGCATAAATGGCCTTGTATGTCACCGTAAGGAGATGAATGCTGTTTTAGTCCAGGGGAAGAGGTATGAGCATTCTAGCAGGTGGCAAGAAGCCTGTCTTTGGCTGCTCAACTCCATATAATCAAAGGGCCAAAAATGGAATCCTTATAGGTCTAACTTCCATCTGCCTGCAATTTTACACTTCCTGTCCTTCTCCTTCAAAGCATTTATTACATGATTACTAAAGAATTACTTTTATAATTATTTGTTCATAGTATGAATTCCCCACCATACAGTAATATTCTTGAGGACTGGGTTTGTCTCTCTTGCTCATCATAGTTGCTGCAACACCCATTACACATTAGGTATTCAATAAATGCTTATTGAATGAATGGCTGAATAAATGGCCATTGTTTTTGAAGAAGGCTGACACAAGATTTATTTTAGACACCTGAGTCAATAGTGGCACAATTAACTGATGGGGAAATCAGGTGATTTTAGAAGTTAACTATTAGTTTTTATCAGTGTTGGGTTGGAAGAGATCTGATGGAGTCTTCAATTAATGGCAGAAAGGAAGCACCATGGACACACACAGCAGGATGCTGATGGGATTCATCCAGTGTAACCTTTCAAGTTAGAAATACATAGCTGGAGTTTGAGAATGACTACTCTTTCCAAGAAGGGCCAAGAACAAATTGTTGGAAAATACCTGTCAAAAAGAAAAAAATATATCAAATGGAATAAAATTCCTAGTAGTCCATTAAAACCAAAGCAGCATACAGTTTAAGTCACATGTTAATTCTATATTCATTGATATCAATAAAGAGGAATTATAATTATATTGTATTTTGTAAACAGGGATTGTGGAAAAGGTTTACCAGCACATGACATTGGAACAAATGGCAAAGCAGCACATAGTACAGAAGTGGGTAGAGCTTAGCTTCTCAGAAAGAAAGTACAAATAGTGTGTTATATAGCATGTGCATAGAAGTCTAATTCCAAGAAATTTAAAAATGGTAATAGGAAATTACAATCTAGTAAGCATTTTTTAAATGGGAATTTTGTTTAAAATATTAGGCTTTAATTTTTTCAATACAAAGTAACAATTAGAATAAAAAATATGTGGTGGTAGAAGTAGGATTTCACCATCAAATAAGATATATGTGGGGATCAATGCAGAAAACCCAGTAACTTTTTTGATTTTGTTTGTTTTTTGACATGAAGTTTCATTCTGTCACCCAGGCTGGAGAGCAGTGGCAGAATCTTAGCCCACTGCAACCTCTGCCTCCTGGGTTCAAGTGATTCTCCTGCCTCAGCCTCCTCAAGTAGCTGGGATTTACAGGCACACACCACCACGCTTGGCTAATCTTTGTAGTTTTAGTAGAGTTGGGGTTTCTCCATGTTGGCCAGGCTGGTCTCGAACTCCTGACCTCAGGTTATCTGCCTTGGCCTTTCAAATTGCTGGTATTACAGGCATGAGCCACTGCACCTGGCCCCAGAGATTTTTATTGTAGGCAAAATGCTATAGTCATGGGAGATGGCTGATGGACCATTTGGCAGAGCTATGATGACAAAATGGACTCATCAAAATGAATACTTCACATAAAACTAATAGTTAACTTCTAAAATCTAAGCTTCATTTTTGTAGCTTTTAGAACTAAATTGTGAAAAATTTTACATGACCGCAAATTTGCAATGAACCCGATAGGAGATAGTATATAGGCAAGGATTTTTTTGTTTACCACGCCTTCACCTTTAAATAACATTGAATTTACCTTCCTTTTATCCACAAGAGGGAAACTTTGCAAAAACACATGAGCATTTTTCCGTAAGGAGGGAAAAATGTTTCATGACATCTATGTTTTGGGTTGTATATTTTTTGCAGTGAGCACTGTAATTTGTATTTGTTTTTTAAAGTGATTTAATATTTCAGAGTTTAGTGGACAACTAAAGAGGCATTGACATTGCATCCTTTGAATAAGGCTAGCTCCATTTTATTGTGTCAGATGCAAACTAGAGATTTTAGTGCAAAATACAAATATAAAGCAGACATTTGTTTAAGCAAACAAGCAATTTGTTCATGTGTATATCTGATCCTTATTTGAAAGAGGTGCAGGCTCGCTCAGCCATTCACATTTGAAAACTATAAACTGTCCCATTGTCCATTAAAATGACCCTATTGGCAGCCCAAGACTTGGAACACCAGTTTCTTCTCTGAGAAGAAACAATGCCTTGCATTAACTCAGGGGATGTGCTGACAGTGTGGCCGCCATAGGAGCCCAAACTAAGTCATGACATGGGAAAGATAATAGACAGATAAGGGTATTCTGTTACCTTTATTCCACTTTTCCTCCAGGAAAGTGCTTCATTGAACATTAGATGCCTGGGTAGGGCAGGCACCATCTTGCTTAGTACCTCAAATTACCTGACATTGATTTTGGAAAGAGTTTTGCAAGACTACATCAGGCTTTCAGGGTCTTTAATTCAACCTGAAAATGAAAGAATAAGCTAATTTCAGTGTTGGTGTTTTCTTGCTAGAACAAAAACAAATCCAGTTTTTTTGTTTTTTTAAATCATTCTCCATAGTCTTTGGATCAGATATTTTCAGAGTTAGATATATTACAACACGTTTCTTAAATCAGGTTAAAATATGTTACTAGAATTGCCTATGTTTGATCTCAGCTTTTTGGGGGGAAAAAAAGTCCTACTGAAAAACAGTACTTCCCCCCCGCCCCTGCCAATTGCAATGGTGTGATTGACTAGGTCCCACTTTTTAATAAATGAATCCATTGGAAAAGAGTATTTAACTAATCAGTTTCCAAAGGACAGGACACCACATTGCTGATTAATTTCATTTGTAATTTATTTTGCTGTGGCACATACAACCCCAGGGGCATAAAAGCACTCCTTTTAGGTACACAAGTGGGACAGTCAAATCAGAGCATGAGGAAAGCATGTTCTACAAAACGTTCAAGCTCTGTCACACTAGGTTGCCCAAACTTCACATTTTCTATGATTTACTTGTGTTCATTAGGAAAAGAAAGCTGTTTTGAGAGGATAATTCAAAGGTTTGGAAGAAAAGTGGTGTATGTTGTTATAGGAGATGGTGTAGAAGAAGAACAAGGAGCAAAAAAGGTGAGTGTTCCTAGATGATGAATCTTGTCTCATTTATTTTTTTAGTCCTCAAGATTCTCATAACTGCATCATTTAAGCAGGTTCCATTTCTGTGAAACATACGATGAATATGTGCAGCACTATAAGCACTGAACAGGGTAAAGAAGCATTCAATAAATATGGACTGATCTTTCTGAATAGCAGTGTGCACAAGCTCAAGGGCCACAAGTGGTGTTCATAGAAGGTAGACTTAGGGAGCAGAACTGAAGTGTAGCTGTCATATAGAGCAGAGATAACACATGTGCCACCAGGACCTTCTCTGTTTCCATGGCAGACATGCCAGGTGGTTCAAACCTTGTTACCTGAGCCTGGACACAGACTAAGAACCTTTCAAACAGCCTTCAAAAAGTCTCTACTAGTTGGTCAAAGCTGGCTTGGAAGATAAAACTATCTTCTTCCCCAGAGGACTCTATATCTTCTTTTTATCATGAGAGCCTACCTCTTTCTCTCAGGGCAGGGGGAAGGGAGTGGGCCCAACTATAAATCTCTTGGCTCCCACTTTGCCCATTGCACTTTGTTATATTCTTCTGAATCTCTGCGGGTGTAATTCTATCATTTCTCTGAGCAAAAGCTTTCTTGTTGTGCCTCTCATTGCGTTTTTTAAAGCTGAGGACCACCTTCCTTAGCCTGGCACTCAAGTGACTCCACAACCTGCCTTTCTGATCTGTCTCCCGCTGGTACCTTACACTGTAGTCGTATCAGTCTACTCAGCTTTCCTTGCCCAACAGCTTCTCCTTGCTGTTGTCTCTCCTTGGAATGATCTTTTCCCTAATATTCCTTTCTGTCATTGTCTTACTCATTTGCAAAATTGAATTCATGTACTACCTTTTCTGTTCTGTTTTTAAGAGATCAAATATAGTCATGCTCCCTTACATTTTAACTGAAGGTGCTGTAGTGGGTAACTAGCTTGGATTCTTCAGCCAGACAGCATGGGTTTTTGAATTATAACCCTGCCACTTACTCTTCCTGTGACTTTGAACAAATTCTTAACCCTTGTTTCCCTTTCCTTGTCTATAAATGGAGATGGTAATAGCACTTACCTCATTGGGTTATTTTGAGGAATGGATTTAGGTAAGATATAACTCCCATAACATAGGGCTTGATATGTATAAAGTACACAAAAAATGGTAGCTGTTGTTTTTTATGTGCCTGTTTCAGCAAGAAAAAAATGTGAGCTTCACAGATTCAGGAATCTTATTTTGCTTGGTTTGTTGTTTGAGACTGTCTTCAAAATATTTATAACTCCCTAAATCTTTACATAGTTGTACTCTAAATGTTTCTTGAATTTAAGGACATTAAATATTTTATGGGGTGAACCAAGAGCATAATTTTCCATTCCCTTCCTTACATACTCACTCATAGGAATCCATGTGTATTTCCATAAATGATACAGTGTTTCAGCTCTTCTGGAATATTCCAGCATATAAAGAAATAGCATATAAAGCCACCAGATTATAGATGCAGCACTGAGCCTAAGTATGACACATGGCCATCCTTCTTACAGGCTCTGAAGATGGCCTGGTTTACCTTCAATGCCTCTGAGTCCCACTAAAAGCATAATCACTGACCCTAATTTTACAAGTAGATAATTTCATAGATACCCATAGATACAGAATGTATCCCAGTAACAAACTTGCTTGAGCGTGGCTGGTGCTGGTGGAAATGCACACATGCTTCAGGTCTCCTCATGCTCAAGTTGAAGCAGCATTTGCCATTTAAGCAGTAGTTCTAACCTTCCCACTTCACTGATGACTAACCACTGTGGTACTGGGTACCTCTGTTACCCCTCTGGGCTGTCTTTATAAAATAATAAAATCTTTCCCAGACTAAGTCAGAATTCCCAAAACATACTCCTGGAGAGTTAATGAAAATGTTTTCTGAGATCCAGACTCCAGTCTTCTTTCCAGTAAAGGCTCTGGAATTCCCAAGCCATTCCTATTCAGGACCCTCCTAGTGGCCAGCAGGGCAAGGATGGAACAGATTTGCACCTCTGAGCAGTGTGGCCCTAGGTGTAAATCCATCTCCAGGCTGGTCCTTCTCCCTCTGGTATCCACCAGAAAGTTTAAGATCAAAGGTTACCAAAATGTGGCTTTCTAGCTTGTGGTAGGCAGAGAAGGATGCCTATAAAAGTGATTACTTAAAATGTAAGTAATCTTTGAATCTTATCAAGATTTCTGTGAGTGGGTCCCTTCCTAAACCTTTCTGATAAGTACAATTCTTAGAAGTTTGACTTCAATGAATATAACATGAAAAAAAGTGAAGGTATTCTTGGTATGACATTAGAATTGAATGTATTAATTGGAATAGAGTATTTGCTGTCTTTGAAAAGCAGTTAAGATTGTTTCTACTGTTTATCTTTGGACGTGTCTTTTTAAAAATGTAGGGCACACACACACACAAAATAAATTAGGCAGCCACACTTGCAGAAAACATACACTGAATTTTTTAGCCGAATGAGTCCTCCTACCTTTCCATTTTTATTTCATGGATGACTGTATGTGATAAGAGTCCAAAAATATATGTTGGAAACTACTCTTTGTACCTTGAGACCTGCCTGTGTGTATAAAATGGACAAATTTTACACAGTGTTTCGATTTCTAATCTGTTTACCACTTAGAGTGACAAGTTGAACATTCGTTCTTGTTTTCTAACTTTATTGAAGAAGAATTTTTCTAGCCTTTTTAGGTTACCTAGTATATAAATAGCTGTCCTTTCATATGAGTTAAGGGACAAGGATATAAGCATTCAGAAAATTTAATGAGTATCTTTAAAGTGGAGTGCTACATAGAAGTAGAGAATACTTAATGTTTAACCTATGGGAAATAATGTAGGAGGAGAAGCACTCTACAGTTCAACGATCTCATTTTTAAAACGACATATAAAAACTCAAGCTAAAGAAACTAAGAGATGGCTTTCTGTACTGTAGAAGGACTAGTAATAGTAGTAACAAAAATTGCTGCCCAGGCCAGCCTCACACCTGTAATCCCAGCACTTTGGGAGGTCAGAGTGGGTAGATCACTTCAGCTCAGGAGTTTAAGACCACCTGGGACTACATGGCAAAACTCTGTCTTTATAAAAGATACAAATAATAGCTGGGCATGATGGTGGGTGCCTGTAGTCCCAGCTACTCAAGAGGCTGAGGTGGGAGGACACCCCGGGAGGTCAAGGCTGCAGTTAGCCAAAATCATGCCACTGCATTCCAGCTAGGATGACAGAATGAGATCTTGTCCCAAAGAAAAAAACATAAAATTAAATGCTACCAATTATAAAGTCCTTGTTATATCCCAGTTCCTCTTTTAAGCCTTGCTATCCATTTTTCTCATTAAATCCTCATAATCCTATGAAGGGATCCTTAGACCCATTTTACAGATGAGAAAACTGAGACACCATAAGGGTGAATAATTTGGCCAAAATCACACAGCTAGAAAGGAGCCAAACTAGGATTTGAACTCAGTTATTTCCTCTGACTGTGAGATTTAGCAAAAAGTTTCTGCAGGCTGAGAGTGGTGGCTCACACTTGTAAACTCAACACTTCGGGAGGCTGAGGCTGGTAGTTCGCTTGAACCCAGGAGTTCGAGATCAGCTTAGGCAACATGGTGAAACCTGTTTCTACAAAAAATACACAAATTAGCCCAGCATCGTAGTGCTGTCTGTAGTCCTAGCTGCTTGAGAGGCTGTGGTGTGAGAATCACCTGAGCCTGAGAGGTCAAAGCTGCAGTGAGCTGTGATGGCACCACTGCACTCCAGCCTGGGCAACAGAGTGAGACCCTGTTGTTTAAAAAAAAGTTTCTTCAAACTATAAGAGCTACATCTTTTTTTTTTTTTTTTTTTGAGACAGAGTTTCACTCTTGTTACCCAGGCTGGAGTGCAGTGGCGCGATCTCGGCTCACCGCAACCTCCGCCTCCTGGGTTCAGGCAATTCTCCTGCCTCAGCCTCCTGCGTAGCTGGGATTATAGGCACGCGCCACCATGCCCAGCTAATTTTTTTGTATTTTTAGTAGAGACGCGGTTTCACCGTGTTGACCAGGATGGTCTCGATCTCTTGACTTCGTGATCCACCCGCCTCGGCCTCCCAAAGTGCTGGGATTACAGGCGTGAGCCACCGCGCCCGGCCATTTATATATCTTAAATAAATATGACTTACAAAAAAGAACTTACATGTTGTTTCAAAAAATTATTAGAGTGAAATGCAATTCTTTTCAGAGTTAGCTATAACTATATAAGTGTCTTCTTTCCCCTAATTTTACATTCATGATTAAATTTTAAAAACACATAATTAATTCTGATATATGCTTTAGCCTGAGCAGTTTATTAAATAAAATTTATAGCAAACCAGTGAAGTTCTGCACATATGAGCACAAAATGTCTGCCAAATCAAAACATTTTACATTGCTTCAGAATTGATTTTAACTATTTTAGCTTGTCTCTCTTAGTTTCCTATGTCCTTCAAACTCTAATACAGCATGTTCCTCTTTTCCCTGTAGAGATCTGTCATCTCCCTAAATAATGTTCTTTTGCTAGAGATTGTTACTTTTTTTTAAAGCACAGAAACAAAACCCAGTAAGTAAATCTGCCAGTTGCCCATTTTGTTAATGGTCAACTGAAATCTATTCTGTCATCCTTATTCTCTTTGCCAGTGTAGTCCAAGGCCTTTCATCAGTAATTTAATCTAGCTCTACAATTTGTATCATAAAAAGTACCCCCTTCAAAGAGAAAAAGTTAGCAATACCTTTGTTTTATAAAAGAACCACCTCATTCTAAAAGGATCTTTTACAAGAGTTTTGTGTGAGTGCATCCTTGTTCCTAGAAAGATTGTGGGAAGTCTCTACCTATAGAAGTCTTCCTTTGACATATGTCTTTTGTTGTCAAAATCTACCAGTTGTTCTTTCTTACCATAAAATTATTTCTTTAATGCAACATGGCTTGAAAGAAAATGATTAGACATAGGTATGATTATTTAAAAAAAAAATAAAAGTAGGTAATAGTCTCCTGTACCTTGACACCTAGTTTTCATTTCTAGAGTAGTAAAAGTGGCCATGCTAAATTATTTTCAGAGAACTACTTAAAATAAATCTCTTGTTAATGGCAAAGGGAGAAAAAATGGCAAGCATCCATTATTCTACACAATGACAAAGGCTTCATTAGATGTTCATTTTATATGTACATTCTAAGATGAAGCTGAGAGCCTGATAAATAATGCCTGATTTCAAGCTTACTGAGGAGAAAAATACAAGCTACTTTTTATAAAATAACATTTGTAAAGCAATTTTTGTTTTTAGTTTAAGTGGGACATCAAGGTTATAAACAACTACAGTGAGTGTTGTTTTTGTAAAGTCATAAATTCATTCATAATCACTTACTGTATGCCAAGTTTTGAATTGGATTTCATCTTCATCCTTAAAGAGCATACTTATATCTAGAGGAGAAGGAGATACACAAATAAAAGAGCAATGTTGTACAGTAAGTTTCATAATAAGTTCTCCCTTGATAACGTTACAATTCGAAAAGTGTAACTCCATCTGCAAAACTTTCTAAATATGACATGTGCATGTGAAAGCACAGAGAAATATTTTTAACACAAATGAGAAGTATACACTTTTTTTCATACCTGCTTTTGACCTCATTTCAGACTGCTGCTTGACCAGGTGGTTCTTATTAATACTCTCTACAGGAAGACTAAAGCCATTTGTATTTTAGTGCCAGTAAACAAACCAACTTAGGGCTGTTTGTGGATCATCTCACTTTTCCAGATAGTGTTGAGTATAGTTTAAAAGAAAAACATAAGTGTTCTCTAGGTGGCATCAACCCATTCCCAAGTACAGATGAGACTCATACCCATTGAACCAGTCCTTTGTTTACTATGGAATTAAATCCCCACTTTATACTTTATGTACCAAAGAAATTTTTTCAGTCTCCTTTTCAATTTCTGTGAGAGTCATGGCATTCTTCAGTGCAGGGTTCTGATTGCAACAATCATTTTCATATTTGCATTGTTAATGGCTGTATATGCAGAGAACTTGTCTATGAGGAACATATGGAACCTCAGACAGTTGACATGCAAAAGAATTTGACTGAACCTGCTCTGAAAAAAACCATTCCACTTTGCACAAATATTTTTGTTTTTATAAGAAAAACAATTAGAAATAGAGGATATAAAATAGATAGCAAGTAGGTGGTTAAATATAAACACTGCACAGTTGAATACTTGAAAACTTTTAAAATAATAGTTTTCTTTTAAAATGTGTCTTAAATGGATTTGAGATTAAGTAGTAAAATTACTAGAATGTTGAATGGTACATACTGGATAGACATTTCAAGTGTGTTTGAGTGTGTACATGTATGAAAATATAAAGAAATGTTTATCGTGGTTAGCTTTGTGGAGTAGGATAAGAAATTATTGGTATTTACTTTTATGGTTCTACATTTTACAACATGAATTTCTCTTCTAATAAGGAGGAAATCTATAACTGATCAAACATTTTTCTAACCAAGATCTATGAATCATAGTCACTCTTTTCCAGTGTCTGTAACCCCACAGAGAATGGATGGGGGCAGAGAGAGAGATTGAACCTGTGCTGTGGTGCTGATAAGGTGCTGATAATTTACACAGCTGAATAAAATGCCCACAGAAAACAGGTAGAAGGCATTACAGCATATGAGCTTCAAAGTCACACCTGGTGTGGATTTTGGCTTCACTCCTTACCAGCTGTTATTCAGACCTCTCTGTTCCATCACTAAGCCTCAGGGTTTCGTTTTTTAACTACCACAATAGTAATAGTAAGAGTAATACCTCTGTCTCTCTGAGTTGCTTAGCAGAGTGCCTAACCCAATATCCAATAAATCGTAACTATTGGGAGATTATTACAGATAAACTCCTTAGCAGGGCTTACTAGGCCCTGCATCAGCTGGCTCCTGCAGCCACTCATGTAACCAACCAAATCTTTCTCTCATACCCAGCCAGTATGCCAACAATGAATTTCTCCTTTATTTTCTGTTCTCCAACACACACAGCCATCTGAATGTTAATCCTTCATACCTAGCTCAACTATCACCTTTTTTCAGATATTTTCCCAGTTTCCTAGACAAAGATAATTGCTCTTCTCCTACAAAACATAGATGAACACTGATGATTGTTGTGCATTTTTACTACTCAGACTGTGAGAGAGAGTAAGCCAGCAACATATGCATCTCTGGATCTTCTGCCCCTGGCACAGTGGCTCTTTCTGAATGAATGTGCATTGCTGCATCTTACAGTGTGAAGTTGCCAAGTGGAGCATCCTCCTAAAAATAAATATTTAGTACTCATTTTTAGACTATTCCATTAACACTCAGTAACAAATATATACAGATATTCCAAAATAGCCTTGAGTCCAGAAAGGTCTGTATCTAATATTGGAATGTGGTATGCAATTTCAAAAGATAATCTGAGACAAATACATTATTAATAATAGTTTGTATCCCAGTATGTAGCAGCTGTGTGATCTATATATCAAAATGGTTAATGGCTTCCACTGTTACCTACACATTAAAAAACAAAAACAACCTCATTTCTGTTTGCTTCTATGTGAAATTCTATTGGTCTGAAATTTTTTTCAGATTTCTCGGAACTATAATTGCAAATTATACTCCAGGATCCACATTAATTTTTTGCATAAGAATCCTAGTCTTTAAGGTAAACAGAATTTTATCCTCTGGAAGGTGGCGATTATCTTTCTCTTCAAAAGGTTTTACTGATGCATTAATACTTACTATAGTGCTTTGGGGCATTAAAAGTTCATCACATTTTCACCCTTCATGAATGACGTAACTTCTTGTTTCTTCCTGTTTTTCTTGTCTTTGGTTTGTTCACGTGTTTCGCAAATATTACCATTACTGAAACGAGATTTTTAGATTGAGGTATAAACAACAACTACAAAAACAAAAACAAAACAAAAAACAACTTTAGATGTTCATTTAAAATTTTTTCCATATGATAAAGCCATTTTAAGGTCAATATGAAGAATAACTGAAGAAAATAAATGGAAAAAAGTTGCTTCATATATGAGCCACAATTAAGTTAGAGACAATGTAAAGTACTACTAACTAGAGAAAACTGCTTAAACTCATAAAGTACAAGCTTTTTAAACTTTAATCATGAAAAATACTGGGTATGTATTTTGAAAAGCTGCTGTGTTTGGCAACATTCTTTTATTTAAAGCTTGGAATTGGCATTCAAGTCACAGTGTAGATCCAGTTAGGAAATATCCATCCCCTTCTTCCAAGAAATAGACTCTAGATTACATTTTAAAATTCAGTCCAGTATTCTTACCCGAAGTTTAAGTTGGAATTTTTATTGTAAACAGATGTGATACTAAGATGTTAGCTGGCATTTTCCACAATATTGAAAATGGGGTTGAGCATGGAAGTGGATTTCCAAAGGAGCCAGCAGGGATGGCACTGGGTGCTCTGTCCTCATGTGTATATGTGCCCCTCCTGCAGCACGCGATGCCCTTCTGGAGGATCTCCAGCCACTCGGACCTCATGGCCCTGCACCACGCCTTGGAACTGGAGTACCTGTAACAACGCTCAGCACTTTGACACCGCACAGCTGCTCTGTGACCAGGGACAGATCCAGCAGGCCCCAGTCTTGCATCAGCAACGGCCTCCCGAATTTAGCGATTTCTGCCTGCTGATGCACAGCTGCTGTCAGTCTTGACCTCTGCCCTTGTGGTGAATGGAGGACCACGTCTATTTCTTCAGAACAGCTGTTGACTCTGGTACTGTGAATCCAATGAAAAGCCATGAGAATGTTCTAGCACAGAGTAATGTGTCTGCCACATTAACTACACGGTTCAAACCTGTGAAGAGAGGACCTGCAAACGCTTCAATTGTTAGCATTTTCAATGTGATGTGAACAGCTTCTCCAATACAGCAAACCTGATTGCACAACAGAGACTGAAATGTGTTTCCTGAATATCAGTGGAGAAATTTTCATGTAAAGAAAGTTTACTTTTTGGTTTCTCATACCCAGGGTAATCTGTACATCTCTACTTATTTATGAACAGACTTAAAAAAAAAACAGCTTTATTGAGGTGTAATTCACATACCCCACAGTTCACCCACCAGACTCTTTTGACATTAAATAATTGAAGAGAAAATAGCATTAGAAATAAGTGATTCAAGGCCTTTGCATCACAACATGGCAAGTACAGTACTTTGAATTTTAGCACATGGCATAGTTTTAAGTATGTCTAATTTAAACGTATAATATGTACATCACTGAGACAATCATGTACAGAAAGAATTTTTGGTGTAAATTTGTAATAATGGCTGATTCTTTTACATATCGTTTAGGGAAATGATGTTGAAAGGTAGCAATGCCTTGACAGTGAAGCATGAGGCAGCATGTGCACAAACTCATGTGCCATGGCTTATCTAAGTGTTGGGTATAAATATGTAGATAATACATTTTTTTTAGATAAATGTTGTCAAGACCAAAAGCATGGATGTCAAGTGTCAGTAAGGATTTTGTTTTCTAAATTTCCCCCCCATCAGTTCTTCTGAGGGCCTTGATGAAATAACACAGCAGTTTCTTAAACAATTTGAAAAAAAAATTTCTCCTGCCACCTCACTTTTTCATTTCCCACTAATGTATTATACGTAACTACTTGGAAAAAATAATTATTCAAATGCTTCTTCCCACAGAAAGAATATAGATAGTAGATATATTTTATTAATAAAATGGTTCATGAATTGGAGACTAACAAAGTTTTCATGTGTTCAGAATTATTATCGTGTCTGCATTTTCTTTAGATAAAGGAAGACACACGATGCTAATCCAGAAATCAGCAAACTTTGCATTACTCCCTACATGCGTATTTTCTCTGTCTTCCTCCCACCCAGAGGAAAGTTCATTGCCATTGTCATCACCATGGAAACAATGTTCCTCTCCACCTGCATTATGTACTACATGACAGGCATAGATCTGGGGAATTAAAATTATCACATTTGCCACACCGTAAGAGTTTCTCCAAAAGGGGTCCATTTGGCTGGGCAATATTTTCTCTCGTGTAATGCAATCCACTGTCATGAAATTACTCTTAGGATGAATCGTCTTTAATGTTATACTGGGGGGAAAAGACCCACCAGCTTTGACCTGAAAGTAGCTGAAGAGCTATTTCATCCTTTTCTGAAGTTGCAGGTTGCTGCTAGAATTAGTCATTTGTGAATTAACCAAATTGTTTGAATTCACAATTGAATTTTTTTCTCCTTTTTTGCTTGAAGCAAACAAGTTGACAATTTTTTAACCTTTTCATTTTGTGTTTTTGTGCTCTGCAGTCTGAAAAGACAAAGTTTATCTTGGCCTTACTGTATAAAGGTGTGCTGTGTCCACCAATGTGTACAGAATTTTTCTTCATTAATTTTGTGTTTAAGTTAATAAAATTGATTTGTGACGTACTGTAAGCTCCCTGACTATCGGGATTATCTTTTTCTCTTGGTTATATGAAAGAGCAGGATCTTGGTTGCATGAAAACATCTGAAGTCCAACAAAAGCAAGTTGTATGAAGTAACTGCAGTGATGGCTGTATCAGCTCTTTAGGGGACTGAACTTGAAAGGTAACAGCTGTTTCTTTGATCACTGTTAAGTACTGATGAATGGAAAAGTTCTTCACTTCCCCAAAAACTATATAAAATGGACCCTTACTCAGATATATCTACTGTAGAACATAATTCAGCATAAACTATCTTGGATTGCAGAGCATAGATTTAGCCACTTACATACTCAAGGGATGGCACTATAAAGCAGTTTCATCAACAGATACCTCTATGATTTGGCCAGATTAATCATTGACAGAGAGCTATAAAACAGCACAACTGACTTCCTCCTGAGAATTTAATCTTAGAAACACACATTCATACATGAAAACACATGAAAATCAAAAATACATTGCCTTGCCCGTTTGTCAGGCCCCTGATGTGTATTTTTCATTTTCACATACCAGGTCAAATGGCCTGAATTATGAGGTGCCACTGAGCATGCCCTGACACCCCAAGAATGAAAAGAGTTTGGGGAAAATCTTTAAAGAGAGACAGTGGTGGGGAGTTAAGGGGTTTTTAGAGCTTAAATTAAGAAAGTATGAAAAACAGGCCAAATGGAGGGCATACGCAAAAGATGAGTTTTCTAAAGCACCACCTCTACTGTGATACCTCCTGATCAAAATTTTTAATGGCTCCTCTTTGATCATGGATTTAGGGCTCAGATTTTTCCCCCTGGCATACTAGAACCTCCAAATACAGTCTACTTTCTTCCCAGCATTCTCTCTCATTACTGAAAAGAGCAGATCTTCAGTACACTAGGCTAGCATACTAAGCTCATCAAAAAGCCCTCAAGCATCTCTGCCTTGTCTTTGCTCAAAGCATTCTCACTGCCCTCCTTCACCTCATCCTCAGTCCCACCCAAACCATGTCCAGCTCCAGTTTTTCCTCCTTTGCAGACCCTTTTTCCCACCATGGTGGAGCAGCTTCATTCATCATCTCACACCAAGAAAATTAAGGACACAGACACACACAAGGAGTGGGTTTAGGAGTTGAGGTTTAAAATAGACAAAAGAGAGAAAGGAGAACAGCTCTCTCCCTTAACCACAGATTGGTTGGATGAGGTGTGACATTTACATAGCACATGGGGAAGGCTGGCCACCCTACTCTATGTTATGCAAGTGGGCTTTCCACTTGACCAGCCCATCTTGTTGCTCCTTACTGTATATGAGGCTGGCAAAGAGAAGGGAAGATGGAGCCGCCATTTTGAACATGCCTAGTCCCAGGTAGCCTTTTCCTATTGACCCAACTGCTGGCACTCACTGGTGCAAGCTTCCAGTTTGCTTGTCTATGTCTACAGCTCAATTTTACAGGATGCTCTAAGAAAATTATTTGGGGGCTGCTTTTCATTAAAAGAAAAACCTTACCAAGTACCCTCACTATCTGCCTAAATGATTTCTTCCTAACTCCTATATCCATGGTATGCAGTGTTAGTTCCTTCTCTTCTTTCGCTCTGTCTATGCCTTTATTGGAAGTCCATATTTCATTCAATAAAGACTCACTGCCTTCAAACCCTTAACAGTGTGACACTGTCCCAGGTGCCGAGGGTAGGATGTCCATGCCCCAAGGACTGAGTTTACATTGGAGTTGGTGGAAACAGACCATAAATGAATTACTAAATGCATGAATAAGCTACATTCAGATCAAAAGGTTTCTTTCTGGGAAATAAAACAGAACGTGGGTCCATGACAGGCATAAGTTTCCTCTAATAGAATAGACAGATGTCTGAGCCAAGACCTGACTGCTAAGAAGTTGGAAGCGTGTAAAGATGAGGGGCAGGACATGCAGGCAAAGCTCCTCAGAGGAGAACACTCTGTTTATCCTCCAAATGAGAACCACACCCATGGGTCTGAGAGGAGAGGAGCAGGAGATGCCTTTGTAAAGGGAAGGCAACCAGGAAGACCTTGAGTTTGTGGTCTGGAATTTGGATACTGTTCTAAGTGAATGGGAGGCCACTGAGTGTTTTACCTAGTGGGGGGACCTGGTCTAGTTTACTCTTTGAAATGATCATCTGGCTGCTGAGTGGAGAAGAGGGTGGAGAAGGAGCTGGAAAGGAGCAAGAGAAGAAATGGGAAAACCAGTTAATAGGCTATTAGGACAGTCCCAGCAAACAGTGGTCAGATTTAGACAAAGATGGTGGAAATGTAAACCTAGGTTGCTTTTTAGCGGTGGCTAAATATTTACATAGGTCAGATGGAGGAAAAGGGGAGACAGGAGAAGAATCTGGACACGCCCAAGGGAAGAGGTCTCAGCACCACTGTGGACAGTTCATCCCAGTGGCTAGGAGTTTCCCCAGCTGTAAAAATGGAATAACGATTGAATCTACTTCAGAGGATTATTATGAAGACAAAGTAAGTTAATACAGTTGACCCTTGAACAACCCGGGCTGGCATTGCATGAGTCCATTTATACACAGATCTTCTTCCACTGCTGCCACCCTTGAGACACTGAGACCAACCTCTCCTCCTCCTCCTCAGCCTAATCAACATGAAGACAATGAGGAGGAAGACCTTTATGATGATCCACTTCCACTTAATATTCTCTTCAATTTTCTTAATAACATTTTAAGAATACAGTATATAATATCAAAAAACATGTTAATTGACTGTTTATGTTATTACTAAAACTTCCAGTTACCAGTAGGCTATTAGTAGTTGAGTTTTTGAGAAGTCAAAAGTTATACATAGATTTTCAATGGCAGAAGGCTTGGTGCCCCTAATCTCTGCTTTGTTCAAGGGTCAACTGTGTAAGTAAAGTGCTTGGGACACTGCCTGGAAGATTCTCTAATGCTGTCTATTACTACACTGACTTTTCACATACATATTTCCCCAACTGAAGAACCAGCTTCTTGGATGCACAGACCCTACGGAAGTCCACTGCATTGTTTTGGCCTGGTCTAGAAAACAAGCTAAAAAAGTCTGATCCCTGACCTTGAGCATTGGGACAGTGACTGTTAACGAATTCATTACAATTCTTGGAAGGGCTCAATGAGCAAGACTAATGGAGGCAAGGGAGTGATCTACCATTGGCAGCCTGGGCAAGCAAGAAAGGCTTCTCTGAGGCCGGGCGCGGTGGCTCAAGCCTGTAATCCCAGCACTGTGGGAGGCCGAGGCGGGTGGATCACCAGGTCAAGAGATCGAGACCATCCTGGTCAACATGGTCAAACCCCATCTCTACTAAAAATACAAAAAATTAGCTGGGCATGGTGGCGCGTGCCTGTAATCCCAGCTACTCAGGAGGCTGAGGCAGG